ACTCTCCCTAATTAGGACTGAGTCCGGCAGAAGATTGGACACGAAAGCACCAGCTGAGATTTTAAAGTTTTATTGAAAGAGGACCAGTAGAGTCAGCTGGGTCTCCCCTTAAGGCAGAGAAGAGCCCCGGTCACACCCAAAGATGATTTTATACATGTGTCTTACACAGAGATACAGCAGTTAACAAATGATTGGCTGAAATTGGCATAAATTTGGGATCCTCATTATTGGGGGAAACTTATCTTCCTGATGACCTATTGGTTGCTAGTCAGAGTTTGGGGCACCCCCTTTGTTCTTCTGAAATTTATTGTTTCGTGGAAGGCAGAGGCATCCCCAGAGCAGCTGAAGGGTGTTCTGAAGGCTATCAGTTGGGGTCACTTCCTCCCATATCTCTATGGCCTTGACACTTAAGGAGACAGGATGTCTGCCCAAAACCTTCCAACAATAACAGAAATGAGGGAAAGGTTTCACCTCAACACCCCTCCAGTTTTACTGTGTCCAAAACACCTTAGGCTTTCTTGTGTTACCATTCCCATAAGTTTTAACATATCTTGGTGTCTCTCTACACACACGGGTTTAGTCCTTATGTCTGCCATATTTCTATCCGTCTCCCTGTACACAAGCTTGATTAACCCTTCGTTCACAGCTTGACTCGCATTGCAATATTTGATGTCAACACGTTTGCATCGCATTTGTACCCTGTCAGACACAGCCATTGTAATGCAGGTTTGTGAACCCTCATACACAGTTACAGGTAGTACAGTCGGTACATTTACATCACTACACAACGGTTTATACCAAACAACATCATTACGCAGGTCAGATAAGGCAGCATATCCAGCCTCCGCCCTTGATACAGCGATAGCATTTTATTCCTTCATCCATCGCCCTGAACCATTTGTTTGCTTCTGCTTTAGGTAATTGGAGAACTTCCTGGTAACTCTGTGCTTTACAATACACAAAGTTAACTTTTGCTTCCTCCACTAAAACACTCTGGGGGTTTTCCTTTCCTTGTTCTCTCAGAACGCCTGGGAACGTCGACTTCTGTCTGCCCTCCTCTCCCTCTGCCCTTGGCAACCTACCAAGCTCGTAGCCTCTGGCCGCAGCGTAGAACCTCCACGTTCGGCCGCTCCTTCCTTCCTGCCCATCGGGATGAGGACGTGGGGCAGGAATAATTCCTTCAGCCTGTAATACGAGCAAACCTGGCCTCTGGAAATTTAGGTAGTATTTAAAAAATAGGCAGAATTCTTATCGCCATCTCAACTCTTTTGACCGTACCCTGTTAGGCGTTAACTGAACCAGCAGCCAAGCCACTCCCCTTCTTACCTGTCTCATCCCGGCATCTTTCTCTCCCTGGGAGAGACCCCCAGCTGTTTCTCGGGTTCTTACAGGGGGACTTCCAGCTGCCACCCCCCAGGGGCTCACCTGCCGATCTTCAGCCCCACCCTCCCTCACCTCTTGCTCCTGAGGAATTATCCTGCCAGCAAGGATGTGTGGGTCTCTCTCTGCTAGTACCCAATGCCTCCTTCTCGTTCACCTTGTCTCCTGTCCTTCTTTTGTGCCAAACCCAGTTAATCTTATCTGTGTTTCGGAACTGGTTCTTTCTCTGTCCCCTACCAAATGATCTTCTTCCTTTGGCTCCCCCCTCCCACTGCCTGACTTGGGGGGCTGGGGCTACTTGAATGATAATCTGGAGCCCACAGGTCTAGGAGGGAGAGCTTCCTATCGCTTCCCTAAAGCTGCCCCTGGGCTTATCTAGCTCCCACCTTAGAAGATCCTTCCTCCTGCAATCTAGTTTTCATTCATTCATTCATTCATTCATTCATTCATTCATTCATTCATTCATTCATTCATTCATTCATTCTTCAATTTATATGCTGCCCGTCTCCCCCAGAGGGTGACTCCAGCTCTCCGTGTTAATCTTTTCCAACTTCCCAGCAAATCCCTGGGCTGCTTCTGGAAAGCTTCTTTATCTACCTAGGAAATGGGTTTGTTTGGTCCAATCTGCCTTGAGCGGGCAACAACCGATGTGGAAGAGCAGAGCTGCAAGGTGGGATGAGTCAGGTGTGGACAGCAGGGGTCCTGGAAATTGAGTGCAACCTGAGAGGAACAAACGGTCTAGAAGTGGATCTCAAGGAGTGTGCTGGGGGCTGTGAGGTCAATAAAATAGAGGGACCGTGTGTATGAGGTCTTTGTGGGTCTAAGTCAATGGTAGATCAAACTCCTGGACACACCTGAAACCAACATCTCAAGAATCAGGCTGTTGGAAAGAAGAGAGGTTGTTACGCTGTTCACCATGCCTTAACACAGTTCTGGATTTGGACTGATCAGGACCTTACCTGGGGACTGTTAGAAGAGGCTATTGAAAGACACAAAACTGACCGGAGCTCTGGTTCAATTCAGTTTTACTGTAACATATCCCAGCCAAACCCTAGCATTGGATGGTAAGGTTAACTCAACAATAACATGGAGTTCTGAAATCTCTCTCTCACACTTATCCAGTCCTACAACTTCAGCAGTTGGGCATTAGTATGGTGCAGTCGCCCAAGGTTGCATAAGCTTGGCAGTTTACCCACAGCCTCGGCCAGGAGTTTGTGTGGTCTTCATGCGCTCATGTCTGTACGTGTCCATCGGTGGCTTCTTGGCTCTTTTCTGCCCAAATGGTTTCCAGGGCAGAAGAAAGGGGACTTTCCTATTTCAAGTCTCCACACCTTGCAGGAACAGCTCTTGTGTCTTGCTGATTCTGATCCCCACTCGCATTTTCCAGTGACTTTCAAGCTCTCACAACCCAGCTTCAGCCAACCGGTGGTCACTAATTCAGTGCCGTAAATAGACACATTCTAACCTAGATATACTTCTAAACTTATCAACCTCTCCATCTGCTAACAACAAGCAAACATCTGAACAGCAATACCAAAAATTATCAGCCCACGAAAGGTAAAGGAACGCCAACAGTCACTGTGAACCATTGCTAATTTCCTCAACATTGCAAGAGAAAGCGGTGAAAAGCAGCGTTGCGGGAGAGATACGACAATGGCATAGATAGCCAGGATCAAAGGGATGTAAGAACGTGATGTAGGCATCCAACTTCTTTAAAGAACAAGAAATATCTTTGGTTATTTTCATTTACAGAGGTGTTTCCTGATATTTCCGTGATGTCATACTGGGCCGCCAAAGGAGTGAAACAACATTGTGAAAGAGGAGAAAGGATGGCTTTCGGTGCATGTCGGCGGTTTCAGTGCATTTCTCTCTTGCACAGACAACTGATCTGCTCAGTGCAGTTGTTGGTGAATGCCCGGCCGTTGCTAACTACAACACAAAATTCTCGGGGCGTGAAAGGCGTTCTTAGTTCCACAGGTCTGTCAGGGGAAAAGAAGAATTACTGATCAAAAATGCAACGCCTCATTACATCAGGAAAGTTCCACCTGCTTCTTCCAGCCCCATCAAAAAGAAATGAGAAAGAATGACGGTGTTGCCAGGTAGAAATAAAAATGCTGTGTGTGAGTGAGTGCGAGTTTTCTTAAGCTCTGTGGTGTGGGTGGCAAGCAAATATGGTGTAATGTGAATGCGTGTTTTAAAATGATGCCCCTGTTCCTCCCAAAGGAACTGGAGCAGCATACGAAAGGGCATTCAAACTCAACCCTAAAGGACCATTTAAAAAATACAAAAGTTAAAAGAATGTTCGTTTGAAATCAGCGGTCAAGAAGGCGTGTTTGCTGGGGCAATTAAAGCAGGACTTGGTGGTCCTGTGGCATGGCAGAGCAGAGTTTCTCAACCTTGGCAACTATAAGATGAGTGGACTTCCACTCCCATGGAACCATTCCATGGCTGGCCGGGGAATTCTGGGAGTGGAAGTTGCCAAGGTTGAGAAACACTGTGGTAGAGGAATCCACTGGGAAAGGTCAAAAAAGTCAAGAGGATGCCCGCAACCATGTGATTGCGTTGCCTGCAAAAAAGTGGTGGGACTTTGATCACACAGTTGTGGCTGCCATCTTGAGCTTTTTGACCGCTCCCTGTAGATGCCCCTGAATTCTACCATCCTGGGAAAGTCCTTCTACCCGCTGAGGGTATCGGACACAGGACACAGAATACATCAAACCAACCCATTTTGTGTTTTCCTTTCTAGTTTCATTTGCACGTAGGATGCTAGAGCATGCTAAGTAGGTCTCAGTTCACTTGGAGCATGGGAAGAGTTTTGCATTCAACATTTAACAGAAAAGTCCCACTGTAGCCACTTCCTGGAACGGTCACTTTCGATGCAGCCCTCGGAGGCCTCTGTCTAATTCT